TGTCATCGCGCGACGATCAAATGGAACATTGTGAATACCAGATGGTTCCTACAGAGTATATAAAAATTGAATTGAATCTCTATCTCCGTGGGAAAGGGATAGGCCGGATTCACCATTGGAGAGAAGAATGATCGGAAGCCCAAGAAACATGATCACCTGGCTGGAGGAATACACACACACACGCGCGATGCAAGTGACGTTGGTGATGGATTCCGCTTTATTTTCTTTTATGCGACAAGAGACCTTGTTCGCGTACAAGGGCAATGTGACGGAAGCACACTAATGATAAAGGATCACCACCTTGTGAGTGTGCGATTTTTTTATGCTGCGGTCTGACTGATGGTCATTCGATTAACTGACGACGACATCCAGCTGGGATTTGAGTGGCCTTGAATGTATCCAAACAATTCTGAAATGTTTTACCCTATAATCCCCTTGAAAGAAGATTCTGGGCTAAATTGAAGTGTACTCGGGATCGAGCCTATCGTGCAGTTGTCCTAGGAGAAATGCGTTTGCACTGAGAAGCAGCATTCAGGAACTTTAGCAAGCATTTCTCAAACTGAGACTCAGCTTCCTGCGTCTTAAGAAAGCCGCGTGAAAGCGATCAGATGTCGACAAGTCACCTGGCAGGTGAAACAACATGGGTCTGTGAACAAAATCGAGCCGTAAAAAAATTTTGTGATTACACTCCGAGTACTTTGTTGTTCGAGAGACGGGAACGCACCTTTCGTATCGTACCATCTTTGTTTCAGGGAGACAAGTTATTCAGCAATAGAACTAAGTGATCAGTTGTTGAACCAGAGTCAAGTGAGTGAATGACAAGACTCAAACGGTCAATGGAATCAAATAATCAACGGACCGCATAGGTACATTTGGCGAAACAATAATCAATATAGTCTCGATTTCACAAGGAGCCAGTGAGTGCAAAGAAGCTAGCCGCCTATCCATCTCACTAAGTGATCGATGTAAGCGCATTATGCACGTGGGTTCACTTGGATACCTCCGCGGCTACGTAACTAGTGCTGTAAGATACAACTCACATTTAGTAGTACGCAGAAGGATGCAATTGGCGGTTTCTTTCAACGGTCAAAAAGAAACAAGACCTCTTAGAGCGAATTGCTGTGTTCGAAATGATAACTACGGCCTGTTTCATTCATTATTCTATGTACTGCCGGGAAGTGTGCTGATATGTTCAAAATGAGATATCTTGTGATATGTGCGCCAAATTATCCATACCCCAACTCTGGTTCGTAATCCTCCTCAAGCCAGCACCGGTCTTCTGGAAATAGAACACTAGGACCGGCAAGATTTAAAATGAGCCACGAACTGATCGTAACAGTGGCGGGAATTTCGTTCCTTCCAATCCATTTCATGCTATACTGGCACACACTCACTTAGATACACACAGACGGACCAAAGTGGAAGGATACGACGCTAGACAAACAAATAGGCCTGCCCAAATCAAGGTTTCACGGTTCTCAGTGCGTGGTTTCTTTTCTGAAACGCCACAGATTGTACCAAGTTTGTGCTTAATGGAGCTGTACGCTAACGAGTGTGTCTGAACGGCCACTTTGAGGGCTAATCATCAACTATTCACCAAACTTCACCGAATCAGTGGTAATGGACGATATCCGTGAAGGGCCAAGCCTTCGTGTGAACCTAGCCCGTGTGAAAATGGACACCTTGAAATTTGAACAAATTCAATCAAAACGGATCAAACAAATTTATTCACCTACCCAAATCAATCCCGATAATTTCGTGAATCAGTGCTTCAAATGTCATCGGCAAGAGAGTTGGGGTCACGTAATCCAAATCTGCACCCGAGAAAGGTTATACGGATGTGAGGAACGGAACGGGACAGCGAGAGAGAGAGAGAGAGGAGAGAGAAAGTGAATCACCCGGTAAATATTACACATTACCTCAGGATATGCAATTATTACCAATAAGAACGACCCAGCTGTGCAAAATGGCGTTCGGAAAGAAAAACAATCTCTTCGCTTTAATCTGATAAAATAAAGTAGTTTATCTATTTTCCAAACTATAATTCAAACATTCTTCCCATTAACCATTTACCACCCACAGAGCACGAGCCATTAAAATTAACAATACCACATTCTAATAAACTGCATCGTGTAGGGAATCGTAAGAAGGGACCGCTAATTTGCTAGAATCTGGTGCTCAGTAATGAGAATCCCTAAACGAGGAGAACAGATAGACATGAGGACAGCAAAACTGTTCACGACCAAGGTTGGATATCGGTGTCTGGGTTCGAATCACATACAGAGCAAGTTGTTATACAATTAAATCCACATGAATGTGTCGAAAACAAGTTCTCACTAAGCAACCGTTTTGTCTTCCACTGTCCATTGGGACTGACTTTCTCCAGTTTGTGCTGTGTGACAGCCCTTTGATGATGATATCGTTCCTGTGTGTGAATACATGTTTGGAAGATTGTGAGATAAAATGATGCATCGGGAGAAAAAACACGCTCAAATGACGATATACTATCTCTTGTTCTTTGCGTATCGATCCAAACCATTGAAAGAGGGAAAGATACATCTTTCGCAGTTTGAAACGCACCTCGGCTGAAAACAATCACCAATGGAGGTGGCCGTAACGTGCCGTTTTCGTTGGTCTCTGTGGACGACGCATCCTGGGACGAACACATCGACGACTGACTGCCCCAGCGAGCTGGTAGCTGACTGGAAGATTTGCTCACTCGAGGTGTAGTAGTAGACACCGGTCGAGAAGCATGACTGACACGTTTTACCAGACCAGATCGGATACAATGAAGTCGTACACCGGAGGCGACAACATTAGCAGCCTCGCCAAAAGCGTGCACCTTTAAAGGATAGAGACCAGTGAAAAGACACGCGCACATAGAGGCTCGTCAATTACAGATACGGTACAGTACACAGACATAGTAACACGTCAATACCGAGCAGAAAACAGGTTGAGCCTTTCCTTAACTGATCGTCCATCTATCCGAGGTTGTGAGCCGTTTGGGGAATGTAAATTCAGTTACTCACTATTACAAGTTGCACTTAGCTATTCGTATTTAAGTATTCAACTAAAACAGCCAACAAAACAAACGGAGGAACGCACGATCAAAGGAAGACAAAATGATGGAAATGTGGGGTCATGTTTGGCAGTTTATATCATACATTTGGTCTTTTGTGCACGTCCTTAGTTGTTCTGATGGTACCAATTTTAATCAACGACACTCACGATCGTTCGGGCACAAGTCCAGCAATCGGGAACGATTAAACAAGGCAAATTTTGAAGTCATCTACTCCATCTCCTAACACTAACACGTCTTTTTATCACGCACTACTGGGTGGTGAAGACGGAAGAGCGGGGGTGGGAGCAAACCCCACAGTCAAGAGGAACTACTACTGACCACTCATGGAAACCGTCAACATGATCCCCAAGACTGGGAGGGGTGAGGCACATTAAGCGTAGGCAAAGAGTGCTATCGGGCCACACGACGGCGATAGTGCCTACCATCAAATTTGGGTGGAGAGGACGGGGAACGAACTACCGACTTTAAGACCGAGGGCAGACCGGTGATAACGAATTAAACCACTTGAAAATTACCATCATATCAGGATAACAATCGTGATGCTTCCTCCAGCCAGGCGCGAGAACAGTAATCTGTACAGAGGGCGGTGGACAGACATGTGTGATACGTGTCCAAGCCACTGGATGAAGCTTAGTATAACAGCCTCGGTGGAAAGAAGGCCATTTGTGCCCAGTGTATTTTGTCAAACTTTGTAACTTGATTAAGCTGATTGTTTGAATGATGTCACCAATAGATACGGAACGTTTCGAAAACAGTAAAGATAGAATAACGATGGTTGTCAAGCATGAGGAGATGCAAAGTGCAAAGCAAAATGCTTCAGACTATGAAATTGTACCCCGGTCTCTTCAGAGAGCAGCAAATGTCGTCAGAATGCCAAAAACGAATCAAGGGGGGGGACACCAGTCTGGCTTCTAACGTATGCGATGTTATCTCGAGGTAAACAAGGCTATCATCTCCTTCCAACTGGTTACCGTGAATTTTTGTGAGCTAGATCAAGTGTTTTGCATCTCGATGAAGCAAAGGGGACACTAGAATGAGTTACCTCAATCACCAAGTGACTCAATAAGGTTTGTGCGTTCTTATTGAGAAGGGTTAGACAAAAGCTAATTGAACATTTGAAACTTGATCATCACCTGGGATGATCTCTGCCCCCCCACTGTCAATTAAACCATCAAGTACACCATCTATGACAGAGTGAAAGAAGAAAGCGGAAGTAAAACCACCCCGTCGAATATCACAAGGGACAACAAAGGGCGGGGGGTCATATACCCTGGCTCTACTAAACCCATACTGATATGCTGCTTTGAAGATGGAGACACTTCTTACCTACTCCGGTCATCAAAAATCATTTCCACAGCGTAAAAACGTCGAATAAGTCAAAGACTACTGAGAAGGATGTTAGGATGCAAAATGGCTTTTGGAACGCGCGACAACACTAGTGTGGCGTACCAACGGGAAGACTAGAATTATCATGACCGCAACGAATTGTCTCAATGGTGAATTCCTAAATGACCAGATTCCAATAACGATTCTTATCCAGATAACAGCTCTACAGGTGGTGAAGCAGAACTCAGCAGGAAGCGTGCAAAAAACATGCTTATTTGAAACGACGGGAGAGTACATGGGAATGCATAAGCAAAACGATTTCGTGAGTGGAGCGCTGTCAACCGCCTTGTGATTGTTTGTCGGTTCTGCTTAATCACCTGAATTGGATTAGTTTACTTTGACAGGTTGTAACAGAACAGAGCAATTTTCAGAGAGTATGGTGACTCCATGACAAGAGTAAAAAATCCTCAAGCGGAGACAGGGTTGGCCTGATCCTTTCGTGTTAGCACTATAGCTGGCAGAGTAAGGAAAACACCACAAGTTGATTAGCTACGGGGATCACGTTGACACCACTGAGGTTGATCTAATCATCAGATGCCACTTTGAAGTGATGGGTAACCACTGATTTCTCCGTTCCCCCTAAGAAGAGGTAACGAAAGAACAGTAAATTCCGTCTTTGGCTATCGTGGAGGGTTCATCTGAGAGACTTGACATGAATGTCACTGACAACAGGGGTAGCGTATTTTGGCACGTAGCTAGTGAAATAAGATATGATAATCTGAAAGGCATCCCATCACCATTGTTTGGTGAAATTTGAGGGACTACACACGTCGGTGAAAAGAGCAAACGGTATGGGAGATGTCCGTTTATACCATACTCCTGCGCGTCCTCAAAAAGCCAACTTTTCATCATCGTGTACAAACCAATAACTCGAAGTACCATGGCGAACAATGGTACTTTCTTCCACCCCCTCAATTGTGATAACGAACAAAATGGACACTGGTATGATCCTATACGGTGCCTGTATTTTTACACAAAAGTTGCTGTGTCCTCTAAATACATTCGCACAGTTTTGCAGACCTCTTGCGAATTTTTTGTATTGTTCACAAAAATAGCTAGTCTAATGAGGGTGGATGGGGGATCGTTCCGACCATGAGAAAATTTTTCCAGTCATTTATATACTACTTATTCAAGGTCTAATCGAAACTGAAGCAACAGGTCCTTGTGAAACACTTATCGGTTCGTATGGGCAACAGCATTTAAACTGAAGTAAATTTTTTTCAAAACTAATAATAAACAAGCCTTGGAGAGTCTTTATATTCGTGATTTTCCTGAATCGTTTATACTCAGC